ATAAATGAAAGGAAAAAAAATCAATGAATTTAAGAATGGGTAACTTGATGAACATCATCATATTTACCTCATCTATGAAAGACCTCTTCAGTTTCAAACTTTGGGAGTGAATCGATCAAACAAAGACAAGAGGCCTGTCTTCAACTGCTGCTATTATGGGGCTTCACCAAAGCACCTGTTTGCTTTTGTTTTGTTTTGCTTGTGTGTGCGCTCGTGCGTGTTTTTTAAGACGGCGTCTTCCCACTTTTAGCAACGGTGGCGGCAGCAGAGACTTTTTGCATTTTATCACTTGGAATGAGTTTGGCGTGGAAGACGAATGGTGTTTTCCATGCTTGCATGAAAAGAAAATGCGCGTGACATGGGGAAGATAAGGGGCCGATGGATTGTTTGGCAAAAGTCGACAAAGTCGGCACCTCGGCACTCGCTCGTCCGGAGACCCAAACAAAAGGGCTGATTAAATCGGCTGCGATCTATTGCACACCAAAGGGAGTTTCGCCAAAAGGCAGTCACCGCTTGGAGGTCATTATTCTGTGGACATGTTTCTACGTTGACATTTTCCGCCCGGTCACCGCGAAAGCTTGTGATTTTATCCTTCTTAACTGCACAAAAATGCATCGGGTTGAGCAAGCCCGCATCGCTCGACGGACACGTCACCGCCTCTCCCGTTTGACCCGATTCCCTGAATATGCATCAGGGGTGGACGCGTGTGTTTGCAAACATTTGTTTTTTTTTTTTTTTTCTTCTTCCTGGGAACGGCCGTTGCGGTTGCGCGTGGCCGCGGCATCCCGCATAAAACGGCGGGCCGAGCGCCCTCGCTGTGAACCGAGCGGCCGACGTCGCGGGCCAAGGAGTTGATGACGGTGCGGCGCGAAGATGTGTTTGTACGTTGCCGCGGTGACGCGCCTGCGAGAAGGGGCCTGCGTGCACTTGAAGAGAGTCATCCCGCCGCTTGCGCATTTTGCCAAGTGACTTGACTGAGGTTAGCGGGAAATGGAGAGACTGAGCTCACCCTTTAGGATCCGTGCGGTGCGTCTTTTGCTAGCTTCTTCGAAATGTGGGTCAGCCAGGCGCCAGAAGAGAGGGAAAATACCAGGTGTGTGAGAAAAGACCCATGTCTGGTGTCACAAAAGCTTTCTTTGAAATCCAAACGCTCCACAACAAGTTTTGCCCTTCAGTGCGGGCCAGACCAACGTCCACAAAAAGATCAGGCGGTCTTTTACGTGCTCAGTGCCCGACAAGTTGACCGTGACAAGGCGCCTGCTCACACTTGTCACAGTTGTGTGGTTTTTGTTTTTCCTTTTTTTTGTTGTTGTTGTTGTTGTCTTTGGTAGTGCATTCGTTCATGGAGGAAAAAGCAACTTTTGTGTCGCTGCCCGCCGCAAAGGGTTAAGATGGGCGTGGGAACAAATGGGAAGACTTGCAAAATGTTGTTTGGATTGGAGATGGAGCTTCCACCGTGACACTCCAGAAATTACGGAAGGCACCTTTCAAGCTGAAGCCCGAGAGGAAAGCTCCAAGCACACCGGCTCGCGCCCGAAATGCACACGTATGGAGGGTACCAAAAAAAAAAAAAAAAGAAAATCAAGATGAACTGAGCAGAGCAATCATAGAAGCGCTTTGGTGAGATGAATGCTGTTTTGTCACCTGCCGCATCAGCCGCGGGCGTTCTGAAGCTCCCACCTTGTGCAACGCGGAGCTTTCCGATTGTGCCGCCGTACGTTTTCTTTGGCCTTTTTTGTGTTGTCGAACCTGCCTTGCACGCGCTTCCTCCACTTTTGCCGTCGCTCGGTCACCTCGAAACCCCAAACGGTCACGGGAAACCGTGGCACCCCCTGTTGCTCTGGATGTTCACCCGCTGTCGAAAGAGTTTTGGTGCACTTCGAGCATCTCTGGGAAGAAACGGGATCCTCAGATTGAGAGAACGAGAAATGAAAACCAACTTGCTCTGATTCTAATGGCAAGCGCGAGTGAAATGAGACTCTGACTCCCATTTTTCCATTTCAGCTCCGTGCTAGCATATTTTGGCCTGACAGCTTTACGCCGTCCGACGCCGTTGGGAAGCGATTTGTTTACCCTCCCAAAGTACGTCCAGTGGACCAGCTCGCGAGCCGTGCAAAACAGCCCCGAGGTCTGTTTTGCAGATCTCCGACGTCTTTTCTTGCCCTGCGCCCGCTCATTCTCTCGCCACTTCGACATATACAGTACCAGGAAAGAAAGGAGAGAAGAAAAAGGCAACCTTGCATTCTCCAGGCACTGACTCTCCCAAAAAGTGGGAGACACACAGGAGTCCTCTGCATAGTTTCTCCAATGCAAACCAGATGTCAGGCACCAAATGCATGGCAGCAATTTTTTTTTTTTGCTCAAAGGAAGACAAATGTAGGCCAAAAATGTAGCCGGTGTAAAAATATATTCGTGCTCATTCCACAGATCCTCAAGCATCCTTCATGGCGGTGTGACAGGAACGGGATGATTTGGAGCCGGCGTGATTGTTGTTTGAAATTGAGACAACAGCCTGGTCGCTGCGAGCGTGTCGTCAAGGGTCTTGGGCCAAGCCGGATTTTCACAACTGGACTGCTTGCGAGTAGAACTAAATTAGCGCTACGCTCTTTGTCTTCTGGACGTTTTGTTTCAAGTCGTTTGAAGCCAAAATGCCCTTTTTAATCGTATAATTGGGTGTCTGGAGTAAAGTTATGTCTGAATACTCTGAGATCGCCACAATAGCACTTTTGCTATTTCCGACATCCTACCTGTGTGAGGCGGGGGGATTATGCAGCAACGGCGACGAAAACAAAATTACGAAGTAGACTGGACATAAACCACACACTTGCGGTGTCATTGTCTCTCCTATTACCCCGAGATGGGACCGTCTGGTTGCAGAAAATCAAGCTCGGTGCTGTGGTGAGTCGTCATTTTCATGCACTTTGAATTTGCGTTGTATCGTATTTTGAAGGCATTAAACATTGCCATAGCGATTGGAGTGTTGCGGCCAGATTAGACGCTCCTTGTGTTTATTATTATATTTCGAAAACACCACAGTTTTCATGCAGCTCATACCATATTATTTTGTTGTATTATTTCCGCCACACCTTAAATGCCGGTCCCTGAAAATATTGTCTGACATAAACCGGTCCGTGGGGCAAAAAAGGTTGGGGACCCCTGTTCTAGAGGTTTTGTTTCAAGCCGTTTGAAGCCAAAATGCCCTTTTTCATCGTATAATTGGGTCTCTGGAGTGCCTGTTCACCAGCAAGTATGAAATGAAAACAGAAATCACCACGTGTGAATCTTCATGTTTTCCTCTTTCTGAAAATGCAATATATATAAAAATATATAGATAGATATAGATATAGATAGTTCTAATCAACAAATATATAAAACTAAGACACTTCAACACCAGTTTCCCAAACCCGAAATTTGGTGGGCATATTTATCAGTCAAGAAAATGTGAAAAAAATCTGCATGGGGGGGTCTGAAATTGATCTGAGATGGATTAGGAAATTGTCCAATTGCGCGGCCCGCTGACCATTCCGACCATTCACCCCCAAAACTCATCAGTGAATAATCTTGCCCTCATGTCTCATTTGCGCGTGGTCTCATGACTACCTCGGTGCGTTCAGTCCAATGAGGGGACGATGAAGGCAGGCGGCACGGCACGCCTTTGCCAAAACTGCCTTGGACCAACTTTCGGACGTCGGTAGTGGCCCGACGTTCCCGGCAGCCATTTGGTCAGTCTGAGGACACGCAGCCTTCTTTTCTCTTCCTTCTCATTCAGATGCGATGGAGGCCCCGCCTCGATTGACCTCCGACTGTGCCCGTCTTGGGTTTCGCTTTCCTCCCACTGAGATTTCCTCCTTTGTAACGTTTTGCTCTTTGAAGGGGTCCGTTGCGAGTCTGTCGACTGCCAAAATATCCCGGCACTCGGAGGCGATTGAAAGTCTTTGGAAGCAGCTCGGTCATCAAAAGGCAAAGCTTGTCTTTGTGAGCCCCTGCGATGGGCCGGCAACCGGTTGAGGGCCTACCCCGCCCCACCTACTGCCCGAAGGCGGCCGGGAGAGGCTCCGGCGCGACCCCTTGTGAGGAAAAAGCGGATCAGAAAATGGACGGATTTGCGCAACGTAAACGTTTGGTTTGCAAGGCGACGGGTGAATGAACCACGACTTCTCTGAGAGTCCATTTCAAAGAAACTTCCAAGAGTTGTTGGCTCACTCTCCGCTCGGACTTGCGGTCTCTTCCGCGTTCACTCTGACAAAGTCATAAAATTCAAGCAAATGCATGTGACGTCAAGTCAGTCAGTCGGTACGTTCGAAAGGAGAAGATTGCAAACAAATTGGTGGCCTGACCGCCTTCCTGAAACAATGGAAATGAACATTTGGACCGCTCTTCTCAAGTCGTGACGACGAAAGCCATAAATCGATGAAATTGGCATTTCAAAACAGAGCGAAATCAAGGCTGGCGACCGACCGGAATGAAGCTGCTTTCTTTGCCGCAACCTTTGGCGAACCTTTGGCGATGGCATTCTACGACTCGGCCGTGACGATGCGGATCGCAATCGGGTGACGGGTTCGGCCCTACGAAGCAGTTGTTTGCTTGCGGCGCTGCAGTTTTCCCGTCCAAAGCGGAGTGAACCATCCACAAAATGGCCGCTAGGGAATCGGCGCTTGAGCGCTCACGGAATGTATTTCTCGTCAACGTTTGGCGCAAGCAGGTGCCGCTGCAAGACCGAACGTGCCGTGAATTGATTGGACCGCCGCGGCTCATTGCCAGTCATTTGTGGTGTTGGTTTGGATTAGACGAGGTGCTGTCCGTTACGAGGAACTGACAAGGCGCGATTGCGTGACATTGATGGCATGACACGTCGAATTTGCCCGCGCACATGCTCCAGCCTGCCTTGGAATGATTGGCGCGGGGAATGTCGTTCCGTTCACTCGTATTGTGCAAGGTGGAGGCTCTCGCAAGTCGCTGGCGAGAGAAGCTGTGCCCGTGCGGGGGCCCACCCTGTCGCGTTTTGACCCCGTGCGGTATTTTGGGTGGCTCCATTGATTTCTGCCATGCATTGAGGTGGCGATCGTGGCGCTCCAGTCATCGTATGACGTCGGCGCAGGTAATAGCGTCCGGCTCTTTCACGGCCTTGCTGTGTTTACGCGAGGTCTCTCATCATGAAAACGGTCCGGCGCACCCATGCGCCGTGTTTTGAGTCTGTGGCCTTTTCCCTTCGGCGCCCATTGCACTTTGGCCTCGCCGCTGCGGCTTCTGGAAAAGCTAAAGGCCTCGGCGTGGTTTTTTTCCTTCCTCGCGACTCTTTAACTTAGCCGTGAACCTTTTGCGACTCGCCGGCTTTTTCCGCGTTTTTATTTGTTTTCAAATATCCGTCTGCGAGATCGAGGAATGTCAAGGCCGGAGGAGTCGACCCATCGGCGCGCCGTCCCTTCCCAGTTGGCGGGCCGGGGAAAGTTCAGGGCCGATCGCAGCAGACTGTCTGTATGCCATCGCCGGGCCCCGTCCGCTCCGGTCTGGTCCCAACTGGCGAGCCCGTTAATCCCCGGCAGCCCAAACTCTTTTTGCCGCTCCATTTGATTCCAAATGTGTTTGCTCTCCGCAGGAAAGGTGTGGGGGGCGGGGGGACTGGCTGCTCCTTCCTCATTCTCTACGATTGAGTCAAAACAATCAACCCTGCCCCCGCACCTCCCCCTCACCCAAAAAGTGTTTTACAAAAACTAGACAAAGCATCTGTCAGGCTGTTGTATCAACAGGGAGATCATCTTGACCGCAACGGGCGTGGCTGAGTCTTACAAAAACGAAACCACTGCGCACACACTCGACCGTATCTTCGCCCTCGGTGGCAAAAGGGGAAAGCTGAAGGATTCTCGAGAGGGTCCTGCAATATTTGTCTTTGACTGCACGTGCCACATACACATCGCGGTGGCTCCACGAGTGAAAATGCAAGCCACGCTTTGACTGTTTTGTTTTGTTTTGCTTTGGCCAACTTGCTTTTTCCTCAGATGCTCGAGCACAAATAACGGCTTCTTCCCCGTGTCGTTCTGGTGACACAAAGCAGGACAGGCCCGCCCCCCGCATCACAAGCTGATTTCAACATCTTGTCTTATCATTCTTGAGGAAACAAATGAAGATGCCGGGAAGTGTTTTCATTTGTGGGAAATCATCTCTACAGTCTAAAGTGTTGCAGGAATGGCGCAGCGTACTCGAACGTGCTTGAAATTGTCCCAACGGGCGGTCCCTGGAGTGGCACGCAAAAGGAAAATCACAGAATGAAATACAAAGTCGACAAGATTTCCATGAAATACAATCAAACATGATGTTTGGAACGATTTCAAGTTTTTTTTTCTCACCCTGTAAATGACATTTTGGCCTCAGTACTTTTTTTTTGTGCTTCCATGTACAGTACTTTTTTTTTTTTACTCAAACTACGTGAAATTTGAAGTTTACTTCCATTCTATTTCATTTTTTAGTCCAGTACATTTGCATTTAATCTCTGAGGACTGTTGGTAAACATTTGTTTGGGAACAATAGTTTTGTTTTTTTCCCAAGCAATACATTTTATTTGAATCTCGATTTATAAAAGGGGGAAGTCAAATCAAAACATTTCTTAGCAATAGTTTCTGCGTGGCCCAATTAGTCGAAAAAAAAAAAAACACAGTTCCTCGCGTGATCGTGGCTTACTGTTCATGCAAGTCTACCTTTTAGGAACAAAAGTGCTTCTTCGTTTTGGATGCAAACCACAAAAATGCAGTCTTAAATCACAATCGGGCACGGAGACGAAATCCAGCCCAAGTTCTTGGAAACGGTGAATTTCCAGTTGATGTCATCGCATTTATGGCAGACTAATCAATGTTGAAACACTTTCAGGAAAAAGAAAAGCGCAGCGACATCACGCCGCCCCACATACCGCGGCGGCATCCAATATTTGACTTTCCATCTCGGATGAACGCCCCCCGCGGGAATGGCTGCCAAAAAATAAATTGTTGGTCCCGAGCCGCGTTTTAGCCGCTGCGATGCTGCGAGCGGACCCCGCTCGTCATCCGGCGTGGACTCCTCAGCTGCGATTTCCTCGAAGAGCGGTCGCATCTCGAATACTCGGCAACGTCGCTGGCCTCCGTCTTCGACCCTCCTCCCACTTCTCTCTCTGACACCATGTCCTCAAGTGTCGTCGGCACCTCTGAGCGCGATTTCCTCTCGCCCCTCATTCAGGCCGACAACCCGGGCAAGCGCCGCCATGGCCGACCGCTTCGACTGCGACAACTGCAAAGAGTCCCTGTACGGCCGCAAGTACATCCAGTCGGACGACAGCCCCTACTGCATCCCGTGCTACGACAGCCTCTTCTCCAACACGTGCGACGAGTGCAAGGAGCTGATCGGCCACGACGCCCGCGTGAGTGTCGGAATCAAACTCGCTTTGTTTTGATGACGGAAGGAAGCAAAGTTTGACCCGTCGCGGTTACGAAGTCTCCGCGTGTCATGTGGTCGCTCTGTGAACTCATCGCGTGCCATGTGAATTGATTGGAGTGTCAAGCTTGCAGACGTCATGGCTAGTGCTATGCTTTTGGCCAGTGTTTGTTGTTTTCAAATTCTTTTTTTTTTTTTTTTAATCATGTCGGACATCAAAAAAATCATTCAACCAAAATGTTACACATTTTGTCCCCTAACTGTGGCGAATGTGAGCAAGCCCAACCAAGACCTTACAAACCGAGGTCTTGAAAACCATGTCCATGATTGCCCTCCCGTTAACCCCCCCCCCCCAGCCCCCCAATCAATGGAATCGTAAGTCGACCCAGTGCTCCTCCCTGAACCTCGTTTCAAGCAGCGGCAGCAAAAAAGTGTCCTTTTGACCATCCTGCAAAGCGTTGTTGACCGATTCATTTGGGTCCGCGTTTTGAGTCCATCTGTTTGGGTGCCCAGTGAAGCGACAGTGAAACTCCTCTACAACGAAATCGCGTTTGCAGCAAAAAACTTTTCGCAACAGGGGGTTTTCCACTGTAGCAAATTTGATCTTAGATGTAAACACGCACTTGCCAAATAGTGAGCGCTGCGGCCGTGAATCTTCGCGAGTTCCAAACAGCAGCAGGAAAGCTGAAGTTGTACGCTAAGGCGCCACGGGAGCAGCTCGGAGTGACCGCGCGATGGATCGGACCTTAGTGCGCGGCGATACCTCCGATCTAGCCGATCGTGATCCGTGCTCTTGTTGTGGAAGGCCGCCGGTTAGCCGCGAATTTGGATTGACCTTTGTCACGACTGATTCACTTGGAATCCCTTTCATGGAAGTCTTCCATTTCCACGTTCTTGTTTGCCCCCCGCTTCCCCTCCGCTCCCCCAGGAACTCTTCTACGAGGACCGGCACTACCATGAGCACTGCTTCCGCTGTTTCCGCTGCGACCGCTCGTTGGCGGACGAGCCCTTCACCAACCAGGAGGACGCGCTGCTCTGCAACGACTGCTACTGCAACGAGTTCTCGTCCAAGTGCGTCGCCTGCGACAAGATCGTCATGCCAGGCGAGCCAGCGTCCGCCGCTGCCCATTTGCTCTTTTGAGACTTCTCTGAACAAAATATCGATCACTAGCCTGCGCTCGTGAAAGTTGCTGTACTTTTTATTGGCGAAAGAACCACAGTTGGCACCGTGCGTGTTCAGAACGAATGCAAAAGTTCCCCGCTATCGGGCACTCGTACGACGGTGATATCTGGCAGCCGAACGACATCGAGCGAGAACAAGAATGATGAAAAACAGTGTTTGGTCACACCCTTTGTGTATGTGTACGCGATGTCATTTCATTGCTTGCCTTTTACATTTCGGAAGGCGACTCTCGCTTGACTGACGCAGAAGCTGAGGTTTTGAAATTGTAGAAAAGCATGGCGATGACTTGCGCTACGACCTTCGGCTTGTCTTCGAAGTTGAAATAGGTCGAACATTTCCCTCATCGGAAAATGATCTTGTTTTTCTGAAGAAAAACAACTCTGACCGAGGTGAACGTTTCGGGTGTCACTTAAGCCTTCATCTGAGGTGTCGAAAAAAAAAAACAGCCGGGAAACCTTCCAAATAAGGCTCCCCCTGACTTGTTCATTGACACGATGTGTCCCTGTCGATAGTGCCATCCCCGCGGAGCGGCCTTACGTGCTCCCACACGCCCGGGACGCATTTCAGAAAACAATTGAAGGGGAAATAGTGGCGACGTTAATGCAACAACTCTTCCCAAAATGTTGCCGGTGACGATGCTCGGTGGGCCGCATTGAAGGACCGAGCTGACCCTGCGGGGCCCGCGGGCCACACTTTGCTCACCCCTGCATGTCCACGTGTAACTTCAGTGGTGCTTGCCAAACGGAGGAATGCTTTGTTTTTGTGATTTTTTCCAATCGTGTAATCCTGTCACGCATGTGAGTTTTCCACGGACGGGGAAGAAAAAGTCGGTGCGACCTCAAAACCGTTGCGTCATCGCAGAGCAAACCACCAAGTATCCTAAATTTTTTTTATTTTATTTTTTTTAAAGAAAGAAAAACAAGTACCAAAGTGGGAGAAGACAAACGATTCGGTGGGGCAAACTGCGGGTGGGTTGCACGATCCCATCCTGTACGGACGTCTGCCAGTTTCCAGCAGTGCGTGTGGGGCCTGCGGTATTTTCATTTCCAATAAATCCAAAGGGCTTTTCCTCGCCTTTGGGCCCTTCTAGCACATGATTTCAAGCGGTCCGGCAAGGTTAGCGCGCGGCATTGTTTTCTTGAATTTTTTGGGACACGTTGCATCTTCCCCACGGGCCCTCAGGTACGAGGAAGCTGGAGTACGCTGGCTCCACGTGGCACGAAGGCTGCTTCGTCTGCCACGCCTGCGAGCAGCCCATCGGCTCCAAGTCCTTCATCCCCGAGAAGGACGAGCACTACTGCGTGTCGTGTTACGAGGACAAGTTTGCACCGCGCTGCACGCGCTGTCAGAAGGTTCGTGACGGGGCGGGGATTCCGTGACGCCGGACGAGGGGAGACGCTTGAGCCGACTGACCGGAGCGTCCTCGTCTTTTCAGACCCTGGCCAAAGGCGGCGTGACCTACCGGGACGAGCCGTGGCACAAGGAGTGTTTCGTGTGCAGCGGCTGTAAAACGCAGCTGGCCGGCCAGCACTTCACCTCGCGCGACGACAGCCCCTACTGCCTCAAGTGCTTCGGAAGCCTCTACGCCAAGAAGTGCGAGGCCTGCAGCAAACCCATCACAGGCAAGAGCGTCGCGACGACCCGCTTTGGCGCTCTCCCGTGTCGGTGGACGAGCGCGAGGTCCACCGCTGGAGCTTCACAGATGCGCGCGCTTCACTGGCATGCTACTCCAAACAATCGAACCGGTCTTGGGAAATCATTCGCGGCGCATTCTACCCGGTTTTGCAAATGCGTCAAGACCTTGGCGGGAGCGGATGCTGGAAATCACTCGAACTTTGTGACAACGTACCTCCGGGGCCAACCTGTACCTTCTAGCGGCAGTTCGTCGGAACCATTTCCAATAAAATGGCCGCCAACCGCGATGTATCATACGGCCGGAACATTGATCCGTGTTGAAACATTGATGTTTACATGGTGCAAATGCGTGCATGGGAAGAAAAAAAATATTTTATAAGACACGAACAAACAACGGTAGCGTTCCTACTCTGAGTCTCCGGTTGAGCGTGTGCCGCGACAGCGGGTGAAAACGTTGTCGACGTCGAAACAAGGTTGGACTGAAATATTCTCGAGATCGATCAGGATAGCTGCGAAACAGGAAGAAGACGGTCTTCCCATATCGGTATTTCAGGCCGCCGTATGGTAACACTCAACAGTACGTTGTCTGCCAGTTTTCCGGCCGCTTCTCGCTGTTGCTCTTCACAACCGTCGGTGCGGCGCAAGTGCAAGAGAAGGCTGCGTTTTAAGAAAGCAAACCTCAGCCAAGGCTGCCCCATTTCAATGGACATGACAGGAACTCCTCCTTTGGGATTTCAACGCGGATCCCTCGTGGGACAATCCTCCAGAAATAAAAGCGTCGCTCCCAATGGCCGGAGAGTCCCTGGTGGCTTTTGCCTCTGGTGTCAAGTCGGGTGTGCGGCACGCCGCTGTGGAAACTTTCACAGAAAGTTGAACCTCCGTTTCCACGCCGCGCAAATGATTGTGCCATGTTTCAAATTTCATTTGGGAATGGACGGAAAACACATGAAAAGGAAAAATGTGGCTTTCAAGTATCTTTCCGGGTGTTTTGTTGAGTGTTCATTTTAGCCACAAGCTCACTAATTAGCCGCCACTTGACTGAATTAAATGCGATGCGCATCATCACTTGTTGTCATCGCCTACTTATGTTAGCCACTAGCTCGCTAACTAGCCGGCTGGACGAGTTCGCCTCGGTCTTTTTTTTTAAATTTTATTTTTTATTTTTATGAGCAGCAAAGGTTAGCTCTCAGCTGCCAACTTTCTATCTGCTATGCACGTTGTCACTCGCGATCATCAGCTGGTTGTTTTATCCTCTTCTGCTATCTCGCTAACTTAGCGCTGACTGGCTAACTGCTTTTTAAGTCATCACTTGTCGTCAGCGGCACAAATGTTTTACCAACCGCTAACATGATCTGACGTCATTGTGACGCCGCGGTTTGTCGAGCAGCGAAGACCTCGACGGTCGTGTCCCCTCTTTGTCCAGGTTTCGGCGGCGGCAAATACATCTCGTTCGAGGAGCGCCAGTGGCACCAGCCGTGCTTCACCTGCACGCAGTGCTCCGTGTCGCTGGTGGGCGCCGGCTTCTTCCCCGACGGCGAACGCATCCTGTGCCGCGACTGTCACAACGGCCTCTAAAGACCCCCGCGCTCCCTCCCTTGCATACCACTCGAGTCACGTCATAGCCAAAGGCTTGTGTAGACCCAGCCAGGTGACAACACACAAAAACCAAGGCGCTTTTTCCAAAGTGGACCACCACCAAACTCCTTGATACGGCCTAGTGCCCGACCACATGTTACATAATCCCGAACGACATCATTCTTGAAGGGACACGAGAGGGCAGTTTGACAGTCCCTTCTTGATGGAGAATCCTCGATTGATTTCAAAAAGTTGACACCGTGCTCTCGGTGCATTCGATGGCCTTGACCCCAAAACATTCCCCATTTAGCTTCACCTGTATTTTGAAGATGCCTGCTTCCAACTGGGGCTCATTTGGACCAATTGCAGTCGGTGTTAGTGCCCTGGAATTCTCCTCAAAATGGCTGCTTCAAAGCAAAGTGGCCGACTTCTGCTTTTCTTTTGGCCGTAGCACATTTTGGCTCTTTTTGTGCGTCCTGTTTTCATGTCAGGGCCAATTCCACCCCCCCCCCCCAAATCCTTCAAAATGGTGTAGGCAAAAGAAAAACCAAACAAACAAAATAAGAGAAGAAAATGGTGAGTTGTCAGGCATGTTCAGATCCCCAAACAGGTGATTTATTTGTTGGAAGACTAATGATCAAGGGGAGCCCATAATCATCATGTTTTCACTACATTTTGAATGTCACTTTTCCCTGTCTTGCACACGATGATCACGATGCATTATCTTTGATCATCTTGACTAGGTCACTGTATATAACGACACAAAAATTATTACAACATCCAATCAACAGTTTTTTAAAAAAACTACTTTCTGACAGGCTTATGTTCTCGCCGTAGAGAAATGTAAATAAGGTTAATTTTGCACTTTTTGGACAAGAGAGGCTCATGTCACCATGTTGCAGGGATGTGTTCCTCGAGCCGGTCCTTGGCCTCGAGGACCGGCTCGAGGACCGAAGGTCGGTCCTTGGTCCTTGGCCTTGGCCTTGGAATTCAATTCCTTGGCCTTGGCCTCGGCCTTGAGAGTCAAGTCCTTGGCCTTGGCCTTGGCCTCGGGTTGCCAGTCCTCGGACACACTGAGGGAATTGAGCCTCGACTCTCTTGTCCGCAGGTATAAAGTGGTACGCAACCACCACGAAGGAATCAAAGAAATTCCATCCAGTAAGACGCGCATAGATGGATTAAGCTGGCGCTTTAAAAGGGGCGGGTCTGCCACTGATCAAAGGGGCGGGTCTGCCACTGACGGGCGACAGTTAGCCCAATGAATAAAGAGCGGAATCACAGTTAGTTTCAATCACGGTTTCTTCCGTTCGCGATCGGCAGTTTAAATAGTGTGTAAAGTCTTTCTGCAACAGTCGTGTCTTTTATGTAGTTATTTTTGCACAGTCGTCACGTTTGTGCGGTGGCACTATAATGTTTGTTTGAACCAAGTAATTTGCGTTACAGCTGGAGTCAATAATGCCGGCATTTCACTTCCGGGTTTGGCCGTTGGGATTTGGAGTCCTTTTGCTCGATTCCAGTTATGTTTTTGGTGAATGCTTTCTCATGTTTGGAATAATGAATATTGATAATACATAGTTTAAAATCATGGTTGATTTATTATTTTTATTATCATTGTTAAGTTGAAGGTATTAAATTAATTAATGTAGTATTAGTGGGAGTGGTAATAATAGTAGTACTCAGAGAATGTTTCGAGATCAGCCATCTCGTTACCTCTGCGTCCCGCGTCCGAGACGCAAAATTAACCCACAGGACGCACAGTTCCAAACAATGTGCGTTTTTGGGACGCAAGGACATTTCTCAGTCAAAACAAACAAACAAAAAAAAAAACTACGGCAAGTCTGAGGATTTCACAGTAACAACCGTTACCGGTAGTGTTTCGTTTCCGTGGCGTCATTTTCACGGTACTGAAAAATAGTTTAACTATAAAAGTCACCGCACACGAGTTGACTGTGTGATCAACGCGATTTCACTGCGCCTGTGTGTGTTTGTGGTGTGGTGTGGTATGTGAGTGTGTTTCTTCTAATTTACTTTCGTTTTGTTTTGTTTTGTTTTCAGTGTTGGGGGGGACGCAGCAGATGACGGACGTTACGTGCGCTTGCGGGTTGCTATTTAAGTACGACAACTGAGGAATCGCGCGGATGAAAGTTTGAGATGGCGGCGAAAAAAACTCACCAAGGTCTACTAATTATGACATTTAAGAAATGGGAATGCTAGTCTGATTTTCGTATGAATGGTCCAAAGTTCGTATCACTAAACTCACCTGGGATGTATGCACAGAAAACACGAGAGCGAGATACGACGAGAGGCACGATTACGAGGCAAGTTGGTCATTAGATTTGTAGGCTAATCGCTGTGAAAAATATAATGAAACAGTATTGGTTATTCTATAATTTACTGGTTGTAGCATGGTACCATTCGTCACAAGGTGTAGTAATGCTAATGTTAACTGTTGGTAGAACTAATGATGACGTGTGTTAAATTCTTTCGTCAAATTGATCGTAGATTACACATGCATCGTCTTGGGAAGAGGATGTCAAGCCACATCAACACTTACCTGTATTAATGATTACCAGTCAATTAATCTTTGCAGTGTGAGATTGGAAAAATACTCTGATGATGCCCTCCACATGAGTACACCAGTTTTTGATCCATTTATTTTTTGGAATAAACCTGGAGTACACTGCTGCTGATGTAATGTTCATTCTTAATGCATAGTTTTCAAACATTTACCCTTGAAACATTATACTTTTGAGTTTCAGAATTCTTGATTATCAATATCAGTCAAAATAGAAAAATGGGTTCCCATGATGAGCGTTTACGGAACCCAACATTAGTTATCGTGGTTTCCCATTGGGTAATCCGACGGAACCGAAAAACGGTTACCATGAATTTCCGAAATCCTCAGGCCTGCTCCTGAATTATTTAAATTTTTGCAGCACTTGTTTATAATTGTATGTATATGTTGTTTGTGTTATTATCATATGCAATTGAATAAGTAGACCATTTCGGAATTCGAAATTTGGGACTCTCTCAATGCATAATGGGACTCATACTTTTCTGATCAGTGAGTCCCTGGGACTCGCTGCAGGTAAACTGTAAAATGATCACTGAGAGATTACCGCTTTTTCTGCAGTCAGTGATTGACTTCTATGCAAAGTCATTTCTCAACTTGTGTTCCGTGCCATGTCATGCCTGTTCAGTGTTGATTTACTTCATATTAAGAAACTACTGCACTAAAACATTAATTCATAAATGTATATCATATGATTTTATTTCTTTTTCCCAGTATAAATAACACGTACCCTGACTGTTCTACTCTTTGAATAAAATCACATCATTCAAGCGTAAGGGAGTGCAAGGGGTTATGATGGAGGGGTGTTGCAAATCATGAACACCTGCCAAGTGGTATGATAGCATTATTTTATACATGTCCTCTGCTAGGCCACAATTTCAAAGCAAGTCCTTGGTCCTTGGCCTTGGCCTCGGAAAATTTTTCAAGTCCTTGGCCTTGGCCTTGCCTCGGAAAATTTTCCAAGTCCTTGGCCTTGGCCTTGGCCTTGGCCTCGGAGGCAAGTCCTTGGCCTTGGCCTTGGCCTCGGGTTGCCGGTCCTTGGACACATCCCTGCCATGTTGCATGCACATAAATAAAAAACACAAAAACATGGCACGAAACCACTTTTTTTATCTGATTGCTGAACCTTTTTACTTGTTTTTTTTCCCTTAATGATCTGCTTTTTTGTGTGGGGAGTAGGGTTTTTTTTTCATCACATTTCTCCCAGGGACCTTTTTTTTTTTAGCTTGTCCTGTAATACCAGTTTGTGCCTCTTGAGATGCTCGCGTGTCAGTAGAGAAGAATGTAAAGGATGTAAACATTTCTTCTCTGGCTTCCACATTTGGGGCCAAGTGTTGTTTGAGTCGACAGAAAAAAAGAAAAGTTGAATTTTTGTCATGAGGTTGCATCATGTGTCACTTTTTTTAAGCCGGCCTTTTCAAAAATTCCGAATCGTTGTGTCCAAAATGATTCAATATTCTGCCACTCTGCTGCTCCCAAAAGGTTTGAAGCATTTCCCTATTGCTGCGTTACTTTTATGTACGGTCTGAGTATGCATCTATCTTACTTTATTTTGTTTTGTATTTGTGTGGTTGTTGCTCTATCTCTGAATTTGGTGTGGGGGGCGGGTGGGGGGTTCTGTCCCGTGTAGAATTAACAAATGCCTCTTAAGACATTGTGAATCATTCTGAAATATGTTAAATGAAAATACAGTCCATTATTTTGAAAGATTTTTGGTTTTGATTTTTTTTAGGATTTGGGTGTTTAGTTTGAATGTTTGGTTTTTTTTTCATTTTGTTTTGTCATTTTAAATAACATTGGTTTTTATTTTTAGCTTTGGAGTTTTTTTTACATTTCTTTTTTTTCATTTTATCTGTTTATTTTTAGTTGTTTTTTTTGTTTGTGTAGAGGGGAAAAAATGAGTGTAGGACGTCTCATAATTCAGCAACAAGGTGGAAGCGTGAAAGGCGAACGTGGGCTCATGAGGTGGTAAGCCTTTGATCCTTGCGACGATTAATAACCACTTCATGAAAAAAACATGGTATGCAAAATAACAAATCATCTTAGATGAACGATTGAACACAAAATTCTGAGATTCTTACTGTTTCTATTAAATCTCTTTTCACCCTTTTCTATGTAAAAAAAAGTATTAAAGCGTCTGTGTGTGGATGAGTGTGTGTGTGTGTGTGTGTGTGTATGTATATATATGTGTGTGTGTGTGTGTGTGTGTGTGTGTGTATATATATATATATATAGAGAGAGAGAGAGAGAGAGAGAGAGAGAGAG